GCCACCATTATCCAAGGGGCAGGGGCCTTTTGCTTCCCCCTTCCATCCAGGGCCGGGGGCAGAGGGGGGAGAGCCTGCTCCCAGGGTACATGAGGGGGCCCCCCTGGCTCCTCCCGTGAAGCCCAGCCCAGCCCAGCAGAGAGAGAAAAGCACAGTCCACGCTCATCTCCTACACACTGTACCTTGGTCTCTACCTTTATTCCCAGAACCTGAACAACAAAAAGTGAGAGGCATTAAAATGTGCGATGCCAGGTCGTGGCGTCAGTGCCCGCCCTGGACGCCCGCCCTGTGCCCACCTTGGTGCTGAAGCACTGAAACATGTTCCGCAGGATGTCGGACTCGGCCCTGGCCAGCACCAGCTCGCGGGGGGCCTGCGCCGCCACATGCCCGTAGCACAGGATCAGCGTGCCCTTCACTTTGTCCACGTCATTATCGCTCCGGTCCTGGGGGGTGGGGGGCAGCAGGCCTCAATCACAGTCAGCCCCTGTCCCGTCCCGCATCCCACACCCCACACAGGAGGCCTCCCACACAAGCCCCAAGTCCCTCTGGAAGACGGCAGGGCTGCCAGCAACGTCAAAGGCTTAACCGACCACACCAGCCCTAGGGAGAGCCCTCCACTGGGAACAGCAGGACAAGCCAGATCTAGGCTCTTTGGGCACCAAGGGACAGAGATCAAAGGTCTGAACAGGGAACAAGGTGGGAGGGTCAAGCAGGAGGAAGCCGAGCCAGGGTCTCTTCTGTCCTTGGGGCCTGCCCACACCTACACATACTCAAGTGTGGGCCGGCCCCGTGCAAGCAGCCCAGCCCTGAGAGTCTGTGACTGGGACAGGCCTCGGGTGCAGGCACCCAGCCCTCCTGTAATTGGTTTTGGCAAGAACGCAGCCTCTACCGGCCACCAGGGGGCAGAGATGAACAGACAGCCAGGGGAGGCGGCAGCTTTCATCCTGCCACCCAGACTGGGGAGGGCTGGGTGCCCCTTGTCACCGGCTGAGGGGGAACCCACACTCAGTCGCCCCACCCACGAGGAAGCAGAGGCTGGATGCAGCTTCCCTGGCCTGCAGGGCACCCAGAGCCAAGCCGCCCCACCACCCCAGACACTAGAACCCAGGCCAGTCCCACCAGACCTCCTCCCCGGACCGACTGCTGCACCTTAAAAATGTTGAAGATGCCGATGGATTTTCTGAACACATCCGACCTCACAAAGTCCTCCAGCTGGGCCAGGGTGTCGTCCAGGTGGGAGATGGCACAGATCCCAAAGCAACAGGCCAGGCCCTGGGGAGGTGCATGGGGCACTCACACCGGGCAGGGATAGACAGGGGCTTGGGGGTGAGGACAGGAGGAGCATGCATTATGCATGCACACTGCACACACCATAGGGCTGCATCTGTGCACAGCACACACGTATGCACTCACACTCACTAGTGCCTAAGGGAGGACAGTGAGCACTGCCAGCCAGCCGTGGGCCCAGGGCTTTGGGGGTGGGGGGGTGCTGGCACCTCGCGCTCGGCCTCCTCCTGGTATCTGGCTGTCTCCAGCAGCTCCTGCAGGAGTTTCCTCACCACGTCTTTACTGGAAGCAGCACCCAGGGTGGTCCCCACACATTTGTACAGGAAGTTCTGCAGCAAACCAGGGCGTGCACTGTGCGGGTGCCGGTGGAGGGCGGCCCGGCACTGCCAGCCAACGTGGGAGGGGCTGTTGGGAACCCGTGGTTCTGGCCACTGCCTGAGCGGGGAGTCTCCAGCCACCAGCCACTATGAGGCGGCTCATAGGCCTTCTCTTCTCAGCTCTGCCAGAGCCACAAGGACCCAGAGGTGGGCTCAGGCACCAAGTGACGCAGAATCTAAGCCCAGGAACTTGGACCGAAGGACTATGCCCAGAAAACCCCAGCAGGCTATTCG